ATTTGGCAACCAGAAGCCACTTTCCGATTCCTACGATTTCAACTTTACAACGAATGATATCGTACCCAAAAGATTGACCCAACTTCACGACAAATGAGTCATCATGAACTACCTCCTAAAGCTCTGAGTTTGGTTTCAACTTCACGACGAATGATATCGTACTCAGAATTTTCCAGTTCAACTCAACCTCACGGCGAGGAAGTCATTTCGTGATTCAATCTAGAAAAACCTGACATAACATTAGATTTCAACTCCACAACAGAGGATATTCGATAAGATGACGGATGTTAAATTCAGTGATACATCCATGGACGAAAATTGTATCTTGTAATATTAGCCCTATTCCCATTACATGACTATGGGCATAGAGGGGCAGCTGTATATACTAATTTTCGTCCAATCTCATTTATATTTTATATTTTATTATTTTATTATTATAATAAGGGTATATATTTATGTTACACTTTTTCTTTGTTTACAGACCCAATACCAAACACCCCGAGGCCCATTTATAACATAACAAGACCAACCAGTAACCCGCACCACTGAAGCCCGAAGCAAACCCAAGCTTGGAGCCCCGAACCGACCTCAAAAGCTCAACCCGACACGGAGGGCTAGGGTTTCTAGAACCCTAGCAAGACAATCTCCTCTGCGCCATATCTCCCTCACGCACGCCGAACCAAGTGATCGAGTTTTTCGGCCGATTTCTTCGGCAACAACCCACGAACCAACAAGCAAAAAAAGAGTAGTTTAGTTCGATTATGACTAAAAAATAGAGTCTAAAAATAGGGAATGTTTTACCTATAAATACCTATATAAATCAAACTCAAGAATAGACAATATTACCCATAAAGATACAAAAAATATGAGATATGAAAGAGAAATACTAGCGTTTGTAAAGTTTTCGAAAGAGAAATAAAAGAAAGGTATTATTTTTTACCTTATTCAGTTTCTTTTTGTCGCATGCTTGATGATTTTGGTTTGTTTTTTGACTTGAAAAAATCGAAAATGGGTGTTTGCGCCAATGATAAAAGGGGGAAGGATTCGAAATATTCGATCCAGATTTAGCATCCCCGAGGCATTTTTCTAAAAATCAAAACCGTATTTTGAGAGAGGTGAAAAGCTTTCAAAATAATTTTTTTTCTTTAGTCACCGACGATGACGATGGTCGACGTCGATCTACGGGGGCCGGCGTAGCCGGCCGGATTTCTAGGTTTAGGATGAATGTTCTTCGTGTTCATGAAGAACACAAGAACAAATCAGAGAAAAAATGGGCTTTTGATTCATTTGCGTGAGGGGATGAAAATGAAAAACTGTTTTTGGTTATTAGCTTATATACGTGACCCACGAATCCCTGATGAGCGCGACCCGACCTTGCTATAAGGGTTCGCGCGTTTTTTCTTTAAAAAAAGGGTAAACTACATTTTGGGTCCCTCGTTATTTTTAAGTGTTCAATTTGACCCAGAATTTCTCTTAAATTTGACCCTCAATTTAATTTTTATTTTAATTTAATCTCTTTCATTATTATTATATATATTTTTATTTATTTTGTTATGTTTTTATTCTTATTATTTTTATTCCTTTTTTACCATTTTCCCCTTATTTTTGGTTTTTTTTATTATTATTTATTATTATTATCATATCTTTTTCATTTATTTTACTTATTTTTATTTGTTTCCATTTTTTCTCTGTTTTCCTTACATTTTATTTATATATATATATTCTATTTATCTATTTTTTCTTATTATTCCTATGTTTTCCCCTCATTATTTGTTTCTTTATTTTTATTAAATACTATATTTTATTATATATTTTCCCCCTTGTTGTTTGTGCCTTGTATTTAGTTCTGGTATTTGTTTTCTTTATTTTTTTTTGCTTTTTTTTTGTTTTATGATATTTTTGTTATTTATTTTTTTCCTTTTTTTTATGAGTTTGCTTTAGTTCGTTATTTTGTTTTTGGGAATTAGTTTTTTTATCCTTTAGAGTTTATTTTTTTTTATCTTTTTTAATAGGTTTTTACTTGTTGTGTGTTAATGTGAGTTTTTTTTTTAATTCCTTAGCATGCGTAGTGACACTTAATTCGATTCAGCGTTTATTTTTCTATCTAACACGTTTTTTGACTCATTAAGGGTACGCTTTCAAAATCGTTAAAAGTAAGTAATTTGGATCATATGTTACCTTTTAATTTAACTTTCAATTTTTATTAATTAAAAGCAACTGGAAATTACGTAGTACCGAAAGGGCAGTTCAAGGGTGGTAAGCCTTCCTTGGCTGTAACCGACTCCCGAATCCGACACATCTTTGGTAAGACGCAGATCAGATAAAAAATAAAGTATCCGATCAACCGATTTGTTTTAATATAAATGATCGGTGGTAATTCTAATCCGTTTTATTTAAGTCGAAATCCAATTTCGAATCTACCCGAAAGACGATTTCGATACTTACAAAGGGTTATATATCACCATTGACTTGCTCTTTAAAATAAAATTTTAATATATTTGAACAATATAATGCCAATTCACGTGTATTTTAAAAAACATAGAAATGTCAAACCCTTTTTCAAGCTTCTCATTAATGTTCATATTCCATATTCCACACTGAAACAATTAAATTATATCTTCCAAAACATCCAGTCAAATTTCAACTTTCAACTGTACTTTCAATTAAACTGCATTGATTACTCATGGTCAAGTCTCATTAATTTTTTGTTTCCTTTTTAGTTGGATTCATGCATGATTCTTTTTATTTCAATTAACCCAAAAAGAGTTCCAAGTTATTTAACTGGTTGAAAACAAAACGGATAAAATGCATCATTCCTCACCAAAATTTATTCTTTCTTATATTTCACTCACTGTACTTTTATTTTTCCCCAAATTTACTCACTAAACTTTTGAATTGTTCCTATTTTAGTCACTCTGAATTATTTTGGTATGACGTGATATTTTTTATTATTTAATATAAAAATAATCTAAATATAAAATAAAAATAGAAGGTGGTTGTTCATTGTTCGCAGTCGCTCGAGGCCACTATCGACGGTTATAGACGGTTGTCGTTCGTTCTCATATTTCATCGATCGTTTCGTCTCAACTTCAAGAGTTTGAATTCGACCTCCAATTTTTGGGAACATGCTCCAAATCCGATAAAAAATTGAGAAAGCCAAAATGCTAGCCACCGTCGATCGCTGTATATGGTGGTCGTTTGGTCTCACATTTCATGGGTCACTTCACCTCGACCCCCGAATTCAAATCTGACCTCCATTTTATTGAAACATGCTCTAAAGTCCACGAATAAGATATTGAAAGTGAGTAAACTGAAATGTTTCAGTCGAGATTCATGGGTTTTGGGATATTTTCCTGTGAAAATAACCACCAAATTCAAACTTAGGGGGTTGAGGCAAAGTGACCATGAAATTTGGGACCAAATGACTGTCGATTCTTAAGGCCGACATTGGACGATGATTATTTTAATTTTTTCTAAATTTAATAATAATAAAGTATTATTTTAATATTTATTTAAAATTATTTATATATTTTAATAATTACAAAAAAGCCTCATCGTACCAAAATAATAATAAAAAAATCAAAGTGACCAAAACAGGAGCAATTCGAAAGTTCAATAAATAAATTAAAAACATTGAAAGTATAGTGAGTCAAATTGGAGAGAGAATAAAATTTAATTAGAAATGGTGTAATTTTCCCAAAACAAAGGGTTATGAGGCATTGGCCTTAGGGGCAACTTACAATGGCAAAATTTGGCCCAATGGGCTAGGTGAGAAAAAAATGGCTCATTTGGCCATCTCTAAAATTTATTTGTGATTTACGACATTTGTTACAGTGACATGAAACTCGTGACGTGAACATGATGAATTCTAATAAAATATATTTTTATTAGAATTTATCATTCTGACGTGAAAAATTTTAATAAAAATAATATTTTTTTAACTCTCGATATAGTGAGTTTAAATAAAATATTATTTAAACAAATTCATCCTGTCTGTTACATTTGTCGTAAATTTTAAATTAAAATCTGAATTGAACTAATGGTCTAAATATTTTACCCGATTGACTTATTGGGTCAGTTTTACCGCCTACCATATGGAACACAGCGTCCAAAAACAGGTTCAAAAGGCTTTATTTTTTTTTCTTCTAAATGTTTATACAAGACTATAATCTTCTAGAGGTCATTTAAATAAAGATTAATCTTTTAAAAGTATTTTTAAATTAGAAACTTGTTTTAGTAGATTTAAAATTGTTAAATCCTTTTTAAAATAAATATTTTTCTTTTACCATTTGATGAATTCAAAATAAATTTTAATATTTTTAATGGTGAAAACAAGACACTATGGAGCTAAACTGATAGAAAAACAATAAATTAAAATGAGAACTTTATTGAGTCAAAATAATTATTAAATCATTATTTTATTTCTACGTGAGGTATTGTATGAATTGTTACCTGTGGTTGTGTATTAATGATATGATCAATGAGAAGGGAAATCCTCAATAGACTACATCGCAAGAAGGTTTAGTAGTTCACAAATTTTTATTGAATTAATTATGTTCAAAATTATAATCTTTTAAATTGATATTTAAATTTTAGAGTTTTATTTAACATTTAAAGAAGCAATCACACATTTTTACTTTATGAGATTCAAACCCTGAAACTTCAACGATCAAATTCGCTGAATTATCGCTTGATCTAATAGTCACACTTAACGATGTCACACAGAATTATTTTATTTATCACTACACTATATTTTGAATGAAGTTACATTTAGTAAAAAATAATTACATACCAAACAAAAACTATACATAGGTTTAATATATGATTTTCAGGATATTTGACAAATCCAAATCATTACAGAGCTTAATCAGAAATGAAAGAAATATAGTTCTGCATGATTATGCAGGAAACAAACACAATACAAAGTAGAAAACCTCATATTAATTAAGCTACAGTAATGAAAGAAGCATATACATATATGTAAATAGAAAACAAGGTGGTCATGGCTTGTGGTTCTGAGTATAGATACAGTCGAGATGAGCGGAAAGAGTTCTTCTCATTAAACAATCGTCTTCAGCAATTCCTTCACACCTATCTTCAACTTCAAAAGCTTCGGTAGACTGCTCCGTTTCAATAAAGGCCTATGAAATGCATCGGATAAAAGTTCAAGAGAGAATAGTTTGAAGAAAAACGGGAGTACTGAGTGAAATTTTAAGTAATTACCTGAGGTTGGGTTTTTGCAACGGACTCGTTAGGAACAGTGCGAGCTGCAAAGGATAGAGTTGAGATGAGGAGGGTTAGGAAGGAAAGGGTGGTAAATTCACCCATCTTTGCTTTAATATAAACTGACTAGAAAAGCTCGGTAAAAGAAGGTATATGATGAAGGGTTTACGAAGAAGACAACGATGGTGGTGGCAAATATATACATAAAAAGGGATAAAAGAGAAAGCGGGTGAACAGCTAGGGATCGAAGACTTTTAAATAAATAATGCTCAGAAATCGGAAGATGGAATTTTGTAAGATACTTTAATATTTTCGGCCAATCAAAATTCACTGTTATTATTCCATATATATATTAGTGATATAACATATCTAATTTTGATATCTGAAAATTTAGCTGAATTTAATAATTAGAAGCTAAAAATAGATTAAATTTGTTTAAATTTGAATTTCTATTAATTTTAACGATTCATTTGTTTAGTTAATAATATGATATTTTCATTAAAAATATAAATTCAATAAATATTAAGAATTTTAAGATAAATGATTAAATTGAATTAAATAGTTAAAATAAACAAACGAAGGAAATAACTAAAATGAATAAATGAAAAGTAAATTCTCTACCTTGTGAAAATCCATTAATATATATATATATTCATATTTAGATTTATTTACTCAATGTAATTTTTTTTAATTTTATAAATATTTACTGTTTCAGTGCCATTTCCAATAGGCTTAGTTTTCTCAAGATCATGGGTGGCCCTTTGTGGGTAAGAGTAACCTTGATCCTGCCAATTATTTCTTTTAAATATTAATTAATATTAAAAAAATACACTTAATAAAGAAATTTTATCAATCACCCTCAATTAAAAAATTATATTTATGAAAAATAAAAAAATATTTTAAACTCGCTTTAATAAATTTTTGGTTCAAAGATTTAGCCCAAAAAAATGAATATAAACTAGCAATAAAGGGTGAAAAGGAACTTGCATCGACGATAGCAGTAGCGAATAGTCTGGTGGATTAGAAAAAACAAACATACTGGACACTAGCAGAGCCATCTATTAGGGGAGCGCCTCAAGGGCTTCATTTTTTTATATTTGTAATTAGGTCCCCTATTTTTTTATCTTTGTAATTGGGGCTTTTAATTAATCTTTGTAATTAGAACCTCTAAACTTTTTTAAACTTTATTTTTTACATTTATAATTGAGGTCTTAATTTTTTTCAGTATCACTTTTTATCTTTATAATTTAATTTGAGTTTCTAATTTTTTTAATCCCACTTTTTACCTTTATAATTAAGGTTTTTTTTTTCAATCTCATTTTCGACCTTTATAATTGAAGCCCCTAATTCTTTTAATTTTGAATTAAATCTAATCATATTTACATTTTTTTACAAATCTCATTATTTAATTTATTAAATATTCTTATATTCTTTAATTCTTAGTCTTCTTATATTCTTTATTAAATCTAATCATATTTACACCAAATCTCAGGGCCTCGATAATGTTCGAGACAACTCTAGAAACAAGAAGAAAAAAGAAATGCCATAAAGAAAAAGAAAAAAATGGACCAGAAGATGAAAATGCCTCTCACACATAGGGATGGGCATGTGGCGGGTTGGTTCTTTGGTCACTCCGACTTCGACCAAAAATAAATTTCTTATACTAGAGCTCATCCCACCTCAATGAATTTTAGTTTTTCTCCCACACTGAATCATCCTGATTTTTAGACTAAAACTATGATCCCGACCCAACCTGATCCAAATATATTAATATTTTAAAATAGTTATAATATTATTTTTATAATAATGTATTTATAATTTGTTACTATATTTTAAAAGGTTAAAATAATATATTTTATAATAATTTTTATATTTTTAATAATTAAATAATATATTTTAGATTAATAAAAAATAACATATTTTAATAATAATAATAAAATTTTCTAAAATATTAAACATATATATGTATAAATTAACAATGTCGGGTCGGGTCGATGATTTTTCACTTGAAACCAGGATGTCCTGTCCCAAGCTCTGAAATTAAAAAAAAAAAAAGGGGTCCCTATAAAGTTGGATCGGATCAAGACAACTCTAGTTTGAGTTTTTTGGCCATTCCTACTTATACATATCTTTTGGTGTCCCACATTTTTACCCTGCCATATATCGAATAGAATAAGATGAATGAAAATAGAATCGAAATTTCTGCGAGAAAAATATTTTTGGCAGTTAAATCTTCTTGATAATACTATAATAGCATCTAACTGCACAAATGTTGTGACAGAGACAAATTCGGTCAATTCATCTATATGTACATAAACAACTTCAATAGAAGTTATGGAGTTTGATGAGTAGAAAAAAAATGTATAATCACCAGATGAATCATAAAATTCAATTTGGTGAAACTTAATCTAGCTGTACGTAACACTGCATTTTTATAAATATGCTAATGATTTCCTTGTATACTCTTAAATATGATTAAAATCAAATAAAATGTATCTATGGATAGATTGCCTTAACTCTTATTTTGGAGATAAGAAATCAAATTTTGATAACATTAAAATAAAATTGTTTCAATTGCTCCAAATTTCTAACATTATTAACTTTTATTGATTAGATATTTCAAAAGACAATAAAATTATGAGTGCTTCATGTGAAATACATTTGTTGCGTGTTAGGCTGATTTTCTGATAAGATGTTATGAAATATCAGTGGACATCTAAAAGCACAATAGCATACTTTCAACGTGTGGATAACACAATAAACCTTTGATAAAACGAAGATATCTAAGAGGTTGAGAAATACAGAGTCGAGCACTAATTGTTGTTAGTATTCAATTTAAATATTTGATATTATCTGTCATAATTGTAAAAACAAATATGGCTATATGATGAATAGTTGCTGTTTGTCTTCTTCCATAACCCATCATCCTTGGACTCTAATTGGTTGGATGAAAAAAATAAATGTAAAAGTAAAAATATATTTAGTATTTGGTAGGATAGAAAACTAAAAAAATAAATATATTAACCATTTTTCATCATCGTCGTCGTGTCAAAAAACAATCATTCTAATTTGAAGAAAAAAAGATAAGAAAAAAACATATAAGAGATATTGAAAAATGCAAAATTTTATGTTAGTGGTGAACTTATAAAATTTTAGTGGGTGAAAATAGTTTATCAATAGAAAATATAAAAAAATATCTAAATTATATAAGAAATTTAAAATTCCAGAGGATAATCGCCCTCATCAGCCCCTTCAGTTTATCTCCGATAAAAGAGACATGAATTTGGTTTAAAATATATATTTTTAAATTTTTAAATTTCTTTCAACTCTAACAAATAATATAAAAAGAGAAAATAATAATATAAAAATAATTTAAAATATAAAATAAAAATAGAAGGTGGTTGTTCATTGTTAGCCGTTGTTGGAGGCCACCTCGACGGTCATAGACGGTGGTCGTTTGTTCCTAGATTTCATCGGTCATTTCGTCTCGACTTCATGAGTTTGAATTCGACCTCCATTTTTCGGAACATGCTTTAAATCCAATAAAAAAATGAGAAAACCAAAACGCCAACTGTCGTCGACCGTTGTAGATGGTGGTCGCTTGGCCTCAGATTTCATGTGTTGCTTCACCTTGACCCCTGAGTTCAAATCTGACCTCCAATTTGTTGAAGCATGCTTCAATGTCCACAAATAATAGATTGAAAGTGGGAAAATGAAATGTTTCAGTCGAGATTCAAGGGTTTTGGGATTTTCCTGTGAAACAACCACCATATTCGAACTTAGGGGGTCGAGGCGAAGCGACCCATGAAATTTGGGACTGAACGAATGTCGATTTTGTAGGATGACAGTGGGCGGTGATTATTTTAAAGCTTTCTAAATTTAATAATAATAAAATATTATTATATTATTTATTTTAAATTATTTTTATATTTTAATAATTATAAATTCCTCTTCATACCAAAATAATAATAAAATAATTGAGGATTTTCCAAAATAAAATTAATTCGAAAGTTCAGTGAATAAATTGATAAAATTAAAAGTATAGTGAGTGAAATTAGAGAGAAAGTAAAATTTAGTGAGAAATTGTGTAATTTATAAAAAAAAAGAATGGTTATGAGGGGTGGGTCTTAGGGGCAGCCTACAATGGCAAAATTGGCCCAATAGGCAAGGTGGAAAAAATTTGGCTCATTAGGCCATCTTCAAAATTAATTTGGGTTCTACAATATTTGCTACAGTGACTTGAAACTCATCACGTGAGCATAACGAGTTCTAATAAAATATATTTTATTAGAACTTGTCATCCCAATGTGACAAATTCTAATAAAAATTATATTTTTTAACTCGTCATGTCGACTTAACGAGTTTGAATAAAAAATATTATTTAGACAAATTCATCGTGTGGATGTGACGAATTCCCTCTACACTGTTACATTTGTCGTATATTTCAAATTAAAATGAGTAGTATCGATACCCTAGGGTCAAGTATCGATACTCCTATGAGTATCGCTACAAAAAATACATTTTGTTTTTGAAATTGAGGCCCAATATAAAAATTGTCACCTTGAGTATCGATACTCTCCCTGGAAGAATTGATACTCCCCACCTAAATCCCTAATTTTTTTGCCCTAATTCAACTAGTATCAACACTGTTCATCCCAATATCGATACTCAAACCCAAAAATGGTTTATTTAGGCTCATAAATCACCCAAAATTCATCCTAAGTGACTTGGTTTGGTTTCTAATCTTTTTTTTGAAGCTTTAGTACGTTGTTTAGGGTCTTAAGGTGTCATAAAATGTGTTATTAACATATAGAACGTGATTTGCTTAAGAATTCAAAAGTAAACCCTAAAATGCTTAAATAATCAAATCTTAGCAAAATCACTAAATTTATGGAAGCTTAATACTCCAAAGGATTATAAATACATTACCTTGATGTTTGAATCCTAAAATGAAGATTCTTGTTTAGCTATACACCTTCCCTTGGTGATTTGGATGAAAACCCCCCACTTTTCACTTTAACTATCACCTTTGGGGAGGAGGGAAGAAGATAAATTAAGAAGAAAGGAAAATGAAGTGAATATGGAGATAGACGAGATAAAAAGTA